ACGCAAAAGCAATATTTGACACTTTTTAAGAAGGAGGCGCAAAAATAATATTTGTAAACAAGAATGTCATTATTTTTAATCTATTATAGGTAATCTTAAAAAAATGCAAGACGATTGAGAAATACAAGAGGTTATCTTGATCGTATATTCCAGGTCAGAGAAGGAAGAAAGAGGAAAATAACACAAGAACCAGGAGGCAACATTTCGTAGAAGAAGACAACAATGCGATACTCCCTCGAAAGTATTTTCAGTTAATCTAATACCTATATAAGGAGTTCCAACCCTACTCTTTTCTAGGACTCTACCCTTCTTATATTCTCATCCATTCTATAAATATCGAATATAGACATTGATCTTCAAACATGGTCTCGAACACAATACACACTTACCTCTTGAATTAATTGACTCTCGAGTGGTAGCCTAAATTGGATGTCAGAGTATTTCGAGGGGAAATCCTATCTCTTCCTCCTGAAGATATTCATGACGATATTACTTATGCATGGTCCAATACATTTTAGAGGATCATCGTGGCTATCTCACCAAAGATGATAACTTCGACAAAAACATCTCTCATCCCCCAAAATGACATAATTCTTACTCGGATTTTTACCACTATTAATATATGACACTTCAATGATTATGCAAGACATTATATGATCCCGTATGAAGGATTTGAAAATTTGATCCAAACAATTAAGAGGAGAATATCTTCACCGAAGAAAAAACAAATCATAATATATATTTTTTGTTATTTTACAATCTTAAGATATTATTTTTTTTTTGTAATTATTGTCCCGCGCAATGCGCGGATACTTGCCTAGTATATATATTGTTTGAACATTTAATTGAACTTAGGTTTTGTTGCTTTGTTTTACATGTAATTTTTAGTTAGATTTTAAATTTATTCACGTAATTTTAGATTTATATTTCCTAGTTACATATAAGTGATATAACCGTTCTACTCAGAATTAGGGATGTTAAACATGATTTTTTTGCTCGGCCCGACCCTGAACTGTAGAAGCCCGGCCCTAGATGATTCATGGACCTTACACAACTTGCGAAAAATAAATTAACATGGTTTAATTTACTTTAAGAAAGAAAAAGTTAATTAAATTATACACGATCTTCACTTTCGAATCTTCAATCAAATAACGATATTCTAATATTATCATAACAACTACTATAACAAACTCCATTATACATTGAGGTTTTTGCAAACCTACGACACCTATCATACAAATAAGAGCAAATACACTATGATGTTTGTTGCTGATTTAAGTCTCGATTGAACCAATTGGTTTGTTTAGGTTAAAAACTTCATCCTCTATATATGAAAAGAAAACATTTGAGACCATTTACTTATGTGTCGATCCCGCAATTTTTTTTATTTTTATTTATTTCTTCTATACTCATTGACAAACACATTTATTTCTAAATTTTACATACAATTATTCTAAATCCAATTGTCGGACACATTCAATTATTCATAAATTTGTCAAAAATAAATATTTCAAAATTTTATATTAAATAGATTTTCGATATTCATTGCCAAAAAAATTTATTTCTAAATATTAATCATAATTACTTAAAATCTAATTGCAAACTTTTTCATATACATTTTGAAGGTTAATCAGATAATGAAAACTGAAACAAGAAAAAAATCCAACAAATGTTGTACAATTTAGGGTTTTTTTAGTGAATAACCAAAAAAAAAATTTAAAAAGTTAGTTAAAAGGTGGTATATGGCACAATCTTGGCCATTGGATATAGGTTTTTTGATTAGTTTATAAATTATAATTTTTTTGTTGTATTAATGGCAAATTATCCCTACAATTTACCTATCACCCACCCAACCGCCAATCTCATGGCCCGTTAAGGCATAAAGAAATTGGGCCTTAGAATTTCATTTTCGGCCCGTGAATTTGCGACGGTACAAAAGGAAAAAAAAACGAACAGAATTGACGAGCTCTAGAAATATGAAATCCGATGAATCATGAATTCATCGTCGTCGACGCATCAATTATCTTAGCCAATCCAAAGAGCCCGACGGTTTAGTCACCCAGAGACAACGACGGATCCGAATCGGTTTTCCGGTAACTTATTATGACAACGACGCATTGCCAGATTTTCCGGTAACTTATTATGTAAGTATCTCAAGAGCTTGTTAATCGCGATTACTGAGATAATGTTTCTGAATCGGTTTTTAGATCGGTCTGTTACCACTTCATACCGGAGATCATGTGAATTTTCGGGAAATTTTGGTTTTGCAATTACTGTATGACTATGAATCGTTATTTGGAGGTGTTTAATGCGCTACAATGGTACGGAGAAGTTAAGATCGGAGAGCCAAAGGAGAGGAATCTTCTCTTCTGCGCTTAATACAGTGTTTTCCTGAATTTGGGGATTTGAAGAAATTTGAATCTCAGTGTTAATATCTGAGTTAATGAGAGATTACGATTACCTGATCTTATAGTTTCAGTGCTATTTGGAGGTGTTTACCAAACAGTGTTTTTCAATTCGTTATTACCATAATACTGGAGATATATGAAGTTTTGCAGCGAGCAGTAACCTGTAATCCATTGTTTGCTGTACTTATGGCTCTATGTTTTTGAGAATAGAGTATCATTTTTACTTCCTAGATGCTGTTGCTCATGATATTATAGTCTTTGGTTGTTTCTACTGGGTGCGAAATGAAGTGACTTTTTTTTGCCTCTGGTCTTTTATATTCTGAGTGACAGATTCCTTGATATCTTTATTGAAATGGACTTGTTCTTGATTGCATTAATGACTCCTAATTCGATATTTTGCTTTTTTTGATTTCAAAATCCATTGGTGGAATGAAGGCCAAATCTAAACGGGATGAGTTTTCACCGTACGCTTGCTATTGCAGCGATGCAAGGTGTTTGCTTGTCATACAGCAAAGAAATGCACTACCGTGATCTAAACGTGTTTTCGTAGCAATTTGATAAGCCTTTGATGGATGTACTTTTGCTGAGAATAGTCCAAACACAGGAACTTGGAACGAATGCGATACATGTGAAACTATGTGCCACTATTGGTATCAAAATCCACCCATGGTTCTGGTGGTATCATTTTTCCCTGAGAGCTCTTTCCCATTCTGGCTTAAAAATTTGACTGTATCGGTAAGCAACTTTATATTTAGTGTTCTATTGTGTCTTGAATACTTCACTCACCTTTGTTCTTGTGTTTCCTCAGAGAGTATTACCCTGAGGCTCAGAGGAGATATCATTGATGGCTTTGGCTCGGAAGTTACATGGAAGACCACCTGATTCCACAAGTAAGTAAGCTTAGCTCTCTCCCTGTTCGCTGACTGAAACATACAACTTATATCCTTTCTGAGTGTTTCTGTAGTTTGTTGTTTCCATTGAGTGCTGAATTTTTGTTGAATGTAGCATTGTGGTATAGTCCAGTAATTAGTCCAAACGTGAATTTAGTGGTTATTTTCGTCACTCAACTTTTCTTGTTGATCACTCATCTCAATGTTAGTCCTCAAATCTCGAATATAAAAAAATCTAGTGAAATCACATTTTGTTATGGAGAAATAATTTTCTTTACGTTTTTAAATGGTGTTAGCATTCTTTATAGGTTGTTAAATTAAAAAAAAAAAATATATTTTAAAGGGGGAAATTCGTTAAGTCGGTATCAGTTCTTGCCTCTGTTCTTGAGCCGTATGAATTTTTTTTTTAAACGATCGACTCTCCTATAAATACAGATACTCCACCACACGCAGAGCCAAACTTCTCTTGACCTAACTTCTTATAGACGTAATCACCAAAGTAAGAAAGCAACATCGTCTTGGATTTCTCTTCAACGGCATTTCAAGATCAAGAACCTTAAGATTTCTCCATCTCCGAGACAAAATCTGAAGAATGTCGTCGACTGAAAATCTCAGATTGCTTCAAGAGTTTGATCGTCACGTTGAAGAAGTGATTTTCACTGCTGACTGCACCGCGTGGAACGATAAAAGGGTAAACGCGAAATCGTTTTTAGGTCTTTCTTCGTTTCTAATTTAGCTATTGTTTATGCTTTATCGGTTTTTGGATTTTAACGATGACGAAGATTCTCGATTTCTTTTTTTGTCTTCTAAATCAATGATTGTATATCGGCGAAAGTCAAATCATAATTTAGTATTTTTTTTTTATTCTGATTTACC